TTATTTAAAATATAGTTTTGACTCTAAACAAATTGTCTTCAGCTGATGGTTCAGCTCTTAGCAACAGTCACCGTTGTGCTCCTGTAAAAAAACACAGCTGAACCCTTTTATTCTATGCCATAAAGCCTCATTAAGCAACAATGAAGTTTATGTATTAAGTACAGAAAATGAAATGAAAACATTTTAAAGCTGTTAATACCTTTTAAAAGTCAGAATAATGAGTAACCAGCTCTTAATGCCATTTAATTATTCCTCATTCCTGGAGAGAAACAGATGCACTGACTCTGCACTCACACCTTCACATACACACAACATACCCTTAACCCTCCCACCCACACCATTTTAACACAATCTTCACACCCATAGAAACCCCAAAAAAAAAGGGTGTCTGGAAAGAAAGGTCAGAGGAGGCAGACATGCATGAAACCTGCCTGCCTGTATCATTTGTGTTTCTCCTCTGACGAAAGTCATAATAAAGATTGTCGTTTCTCAAAGGTTCTACTTTTCACAGCTAAATCTGTTTCTGTTTAGCTTTGCAACCGATAACATCTCCATCTTGTCTTCCTCACAGACATCAATGAGTGTGAGAACCCGGACGCCTGTAGCCAGATATGCATCAACTACAAGGGAGATTTTAAGTGTGAGTGCTATGAAGGATATGAGATGGACCTGGTCACTAAGACCTGCAAGGCTGAAGGTGAGTTATTGTGATCTACAGCGATAAAATATCAAGAATGTTGTAAACTACGGATTAAAGGGACAGAGTGTCAGATTTACCTCCATCTATTGGTGCATTGAATAATGACTGGTGCCTCTCTGTCAAGCAGCACTGGAAAAAATCGAAATCTAGATGAATAATTTTTTCTTAAAATAAGTGCATTTGTTCTTGGATTAAGGAGGTAAAACAGACATTTTGCCAATGGAACAAGACAATTTACACTTAAAATAAGAAAACCCACTTGCATTGTCTTATTTCAAGTACATATAATCTAATTATCTTAATTTAAGAGTAAAAATAACCATTCCATTGTCAAACTATCTCATTTTCCAACTCAAATTAAGGGTAAATGCACTTAATTTAAGACATTTTTACTTATTTTTAGATCTTTTTTCAGTGAGTTCAGACCTACCAAAGAGGCTTTAGGGTGACATTCTGCTTTTTCTGAATAGAAGCGAGATATCAAACGTGTCAAATGAGCTAAAATAATCACTGAAACATGGAAAATCACTCTTAAAACAGGCCAGAAAGTAGCCTGCAATCGTTAGCTGGTATGATTACTGGGAAAAATAACAGCTGATAACTGTTGCAACAGAGCTTATCCAGTGTAGGCTATTAAACAAACTAGTGTCTCTATCAGGGGTACAGACTAGTAACTGGACTACCTGCAACAGAAAGCAGGAGGTAGAGTGATTTATGGTTAATTTTGGTGGTTTAAAACTCAGTTGCCAATAGCAACACGTTCAGATGAAATAAAATGCATAAGACTCTCAAGTTTGTGCACTGTTGGCTACTTTGATGTAAAAGGGAAACAATACATGACGTCTTCCATTGGGTGCACCACCTCCTATGTATTTATAAATCAGTAATTCTAAGCTTTAAAAATGCTTTCCAGGAGTGGAAAGTAAGGAATTACATTTACTCAAGTTACTGTAATTGAGTACTTTTTATGAGTAATTTGTAATTTTCTGAGTAGTTTTTGAAATATGTAATTTTTACTTTTACTCGAGTAAATTTTAACCTAAGTATGGAAGTAAATCGGTGTCGCTAGGATTTGAAT